AAAAGTCGCCCAAGTTTGAACGCATCACTGCTAGACACGCTTGGCCTTCTTTGGTTTGTTTTGATATGGCACAAGTGCAAGTCATGAAATAAAAGTGGCTAGGGTCTTTTCACCATCGGATGCAGTCGAACGCATTCATATATAGTCAATCTTTGCACTTCGTTTTCACATCTGCATGTGCATATGGGGACACCGTCTTTGCCTTTTCATTGACGCATCAAATTTAAGTTTTGGCCAGGTGTGTTTTCCTGAAGAAAGCTAAGAGCAACTTGCCGCACTTCCCAGGTGGGCTTGTGCATCTCTGGGCAACATGTTTGCCCATTCCTGAAAGTGTTACACAGGTGTACTTTGTGCGAGGCACCACACAGGGTGTCACATTATCATGTTGTTGCTGCTGCTTTTCAATCTTTCATTTTGCCATGTTGTCTCCGAGGCACTTGGCAGAGTTGGTTTGTGCGTCTTCATGTTTGACCACCTTTTCAACTTGAGCTTCGGGCCAGGTGGATCTTCCGAAGGAGGTTGAAGGCCACCATACTCTGGCTTCCGAGGCGACTTTTTGTTCTTCATGCCCTTCCTGGAACTCATGAGAAAAGTCGCCCAAGTTTGAACGCATCACTGCTAGACACGCTTGGCCTTCTTTGGTTTGTTTTGATATGGCGCAAGTGCAAGTCATGAAATAAAAGTGGCTAGGGTCTTTTCACCATCGGATGCAGTCGAACGTATTCATACATAGTCAATCTTTGCACTTCGTTTTCACATCTGCATGTGCATATGGGGACACCGTCTTTGCCTTTTCATTGACGCATCAAATTTAAGTTTTGGCCAGGTGTGTTTTCCTGAAGAAAGCTAAGAGCAACTTGCCGCACTTCCCAGGTGGGCTTGTGCATCTCTGGGCAACATGTTTGCCCATTCCTGAAAGTGTTACACAGGTGTACTTTGTGCGAGGCACCACACAGGGTGTCACATTATCATGTTGTTGCTGCTGCTTTTCAATCTTTCATTTTGCCATGTTGTCTCCGAGGCACTTGGCAGAGTTGGCTTGTGCGTCTTCATGTTTGACCACCTTTTCAACTTGAGCTTCGGGCCAGGTGGATCTTCCGAAGGAGGTTGAAGGCCACTATACTTTGGCTTCCGAGGCGACTTTTTGTTCTTCATACCCTTCCTGGAACTCATGAGAAAAGTCGCCCAAGTTTGAACGCATACCCCTTTGCGAGACGGTATGGGAAACGGCAGGAAATCTTAACGTGAAAAGAGACATTGCATGGTATTGCGCAGTGCCAAAGAAGACATCGTAATTGCAAAACCAGTGTGGAGACTGGTTCGTACAGCGAAGCTGTTTTCAGTCGAGACTTTTTTTTGGCTCCAGCATTTTCCCTCAATTTCGGGTTGTGGAGATTCACGCGTGTGTTCAGCTTCTTGCCTTCAACTGTGCCTTTTGGAGTTTTGGCAAGCCATGAGATTTCCCCTCCATGACTGGCGGTTCTGGTTCTGTGTGTTTCTGGACACACATGCACAAATCTTTCGGCCTAGTCTGCTTCATGTCTGTGATCGATATGCATTTTTTGTAGACGCGTCTCTATTCATATATGCGTTTATATGCGTTTATATTCATTTACATTTGCATGGTTTGTTCATGTTGTATGTACATGTATCTACTGCGTTTTAAGAATCCTTAATTATATGTAAACGTTCATCGCCTAAGCAATCAGCATCTTTTGTCGCACAGTCAGGCTGCGGAATCAGGCGTCCTGTTCCTTAAGCATTCAGCGTTTCAAACCTGCGGTTCTGTAGGAGGGCAGATGCACGCAGCCCAAAACATATCTTGATATATTTATCGTACTTTTTGAGATTGTAAGTCCTGAAACGCGCAGCGCTTGAGAAGTCAGGATCTTTTAGCCCTCCGGATACTTAGGAGCACGCAGCGCTTAAGGGGTCGGTATCCTTAAGCATGCAGCGCTCGAGGGGTCAGGATCCTTAAGCACGCAGCGCTTAAGGGGTCGGTATCCTTAAGCATGCAGCGCTCAAGGGGTCAGGGTCCTTAAGCATGCAGTGCTTAAGGGGTCGGTATCCTTAAGCACGCAGCGCTCGAGGGGTCAGGATCCTTAAGCACGCAGCGCTCAAGGGGTCGGTATCCTTAAGCACGCAGCGCTCGAGGGGTCAGGATCCTTAAGCACGCAGCGCTCGAGGGGTCAGGATCCTTAAGCACGCAGCGCTTAAGGGGTCGGTATCCTTAAGCACGCAGCGCTCGAGGGGTCAGGATCCTTAAGCACGCAGCGCTTAAGGGGTCGGTATCCTTAAGCACGCAGCGCTTAAGGGGTCGGTATCCTTAAGCACGCAGCGCTCGAGGGGTCAGGATCCTTAAGCACGCAGCGCTTAAGGGGTCAGGATCCTTAAGCACGCAGCGCTTAAGGGGTCGGTATCCTTAAGCACGCCGCGCTCGAGGGGTCAGGATCCTTAAGCACGTCAGGATCCTTAAGCACGCAGCGCTTAAGGGGTCGGTATATCCTTAAGCACGCAGCGCTTAAGGGGTCGGTATCCTTAAGCACGCAGCGCTTAAGGGGTCAGGATCCTTAAGCACGCAGCGCTTAAGGGGTCGGTATCCTTAAGCACGCAGCGCTTAAGGGGTCAGGATCCTTAAGCACGCAGCGCTTAAGGGGTCAGGATCCTTAAGCACGCAGCGCTTAAGGGGTCAGGATCCTTAAGCACGCAGCGCTTAAGGGGTCAGGATCCTTAAGCACGCAGCGCTTAAGGGGTCAGGATCCTTAAGCACGCAGCGCTTAAGGGGTCGGTATCCTTAAGCACGCAGCGCTTAAGGGGTCGGTATCCTTAAGCACGCAGCGCTCGAGGGGTCAGGATCCTTAAGCACGCAGCGCTTAAGGGGTCGGTATCCTTAAGCACGCAGCGCTTAAGGGGTCGGTATCCTTAAGCACGCAGCGCTCGAGGGGTCAGGATCCTTAAGCACGCAGCGCTTAAGGGGTCGGTATCCTTAAGCACGCAGCGCTCGAGGGGTCAGGATCCTTAAGCACGCAGCGCTTAAGGGGTCGGTATCCTTAAGCACGCAGCGCTTAAGGGGTCGGTATCCTTAAGCACCCGGTGCTTAAGCTATTGGACCCCCCGGGGGGTCAAAGCAGCAGGTCAGGAGCCACAAGGTTTGAAGCGTGCGCGCCAGACCTTGTGGCTCCTGACCTGCTGCTTTGACCCCCCGGGGGGTCCAATAGCTTAAGCACCGGGTGCTTAAGGATACCGACCCCTTAAGCGCTGCGTGCTTAAGGATCCTGACCCCTCGAGCGCTGCGTGCTTAAGGATACCGACCCCTTAAGCGCTGCGTGCTTAAGGATACCGACCCCTTAAGCGCTGCGTGCTTAAGGATACCGACCCCTTAAGCGCTGCGTGCTTCAGGATCCTGACCCCTCGAGCGCTGCGTGCTTAAGGATACCGACCCCTTAAGCGCTGCGTGCTTAAGGATACCGACCCCTTAAGCGCTGCGTGCTTAAGGATACCGCCCCCTTAAGCGCTGCGTGCTTAAGGATCCTGACCCCTCGAGCGCTGCGTGCTTAAGGATACCGACCCCTTAAGCGCTGCGTGCTTAAGGATCCTGACCCCTTAAGCGCTGCGTGCTTAAGGATCCTGACCCCTTAAGCGCTGCGTGCTTAAGGATCCTGACCCCTTAAGCGCTGCGTGCTTAAGGATCCTGACCCCTTAAGCGCTGCGTGCTTAAGGATACCGACCCCTTAAGCGCTGCGTGCTTAAGGATACCGACCCCTTAAGCGCTGCGTGCTTAAGGATCCTGACCCCTCGAGCGCTGCGTGCTTAAGGATACCGACCCCTTAAGCGCTGCGTGCTTAAGGATCCTGACCCCTTAAGCGCTGCGTGCTTAAGGATACCGACCCCTTAAGCGCTGCGTGCTTAAGGATACCGACCCCTTAAGCGCTGCGTGCTTAAGGATCCTGACCCTTTAAGCATGGAGTTCTCAAGTGTCCCTAAGCACTGCGTGCTTAAGGCCCCTCACCCCTTAAGGGCTGCGTGCTTGTTTGTCCTAACCCCTTAAGCGTTGCGTGCTTCAGGATCCTGACTGCTTCAGTGTCCCTAAGCGCTGCTAGTTTAAGGACCCTCACCCCTTAAACCTTTATGCTAACGCCGCCCGTAGAGACGCGGGTTTTTTAACGTTTTTTACTGCGTTCATACTTTGCGCACTAACCTCCAGGTCTCAAAAACATTGATCGAGATTCGATCTAAAAATCTGACCTGAATTTGGCTATCCCTTGAAGGTCCACTGCTCACACGTCTCCAAGGCCTCCCAGCACTTCCGCACAGGTTGCGTCTGCTTCATCAGGCGTAATCATGCCAAAAGTCAGGTCATTCAGAAGACCCTCCAATCTCCGGGCTTTCTTGTTGGCTCTGGTGATTTCATCCTCAAGCCTGCAGCACGGCTGTGGCGCGCCGGCATGTGTTGCCAGCTGATCTCAAATGTAGAACAAACATGAACTAACATGAACTAACATATTTTCAATCAAGCTTTCACTCAGTTTTGGCGACGCTGCTCACAATAAGTTCTACCGATCACAGAACCATGCGGAAAGTGCCGCACAACACTGCGCCTCTTCTTGACAGAAGTGTCGCTTGCAGACGCTGCAGACTTCAGCTCTTGGTGGTCAGACAAACTTACCAAACCTGGGAGGGGCATCAAAATGAGGGAGCAATTCTGGATGGACCACTCCATGCGGGGCAGCAAAGATTTCACGTCCTTGGGCCACCAAAGTTCTGCTACAGCATCCATGTGGGCCATCCCAGCGGACGCATCGCTAGCTTGCAACTTGAAATGGACGATCTTGCAGTTGGAAGCCTCAGATGTCAAAGCACCCATCAGCACCGCTGCAAAGCGGTCTTCAAAAGCTGGAACGCCCAAAGATGGCCCTGTCCATCGCTTCCCGGCCTGGATGGCTGCCTGCTTTGTAGTCAAGTTCCACAATTTTTGATAATAGGTCTGGTGAAAGTCTGGATCCGCCCATGACGCTGCATCTGCCTCTGCTGGAGGGTACTGGTGAGGCAGGGGGACATAGAATGACCACACAGACTCTTCAGTCACCACGGAGCCGACCTTGGTTGCAGCTTCACCCGACTCAGTCATTGACAGGCGCATCCTGTGCAGCTGCAGCTCGGATGGCTCCAGCTTGGCAAAATCCACGGCAGCTGTGTAGTGCTTGTACGGGTGCTCATGGAACTGCACCGTGCCGTCCTTCAGGGCTTGCTTCAATGGTCCATCCTTCATGCTGAAATCCAAGCATATAAAGTCCCGGTGAAAGATACAGGATTTGTTAGTCTCTGTCAAAGCTTTTCTGCGGAGGACGTGGTCCACACAGCTCAGGGAAGTTCTGAGCTCTCGGGTCCGGGTCCGAAGTGTGTGCAACACTGCGCCCAAAGGGTTGGGCTCGAGCTGCAGAACCAAGGTTGAATCCTCATTGACAGGGAGTCAATATCAAACTACAGAATATACAAAATTCCAGTCTATGAGCCTGCGTTTGGACAGCAACATGGCGGCTAAAGAACCGAGCGATGCAAATTGACGAAGCAAAGTGAGAATATAGAAAAAGATGGAAAAGGCCAACGAAGATGTACTGAAAATATATGCAACTCATCCAAGGCACGCCAGGTTTCTGGAGCCAGCGTTCGAAAACTTGATCGGTCATCGCCCCAGTGCCCAAATGAATCATGACGGGCCTATACTCACACGGTGGATGCAAAGCAACACACAACCAGAAAGCCTTGAGCTGGAGCGCTGCTGAAATCTCCTAAACCAACCAAGGCCAGGAAAACACAAATCTGGCTATCTCCGGATTTCATCACATGCTGGCATCTTTGGCTGGACACATATGAAAAAACACCACACATGTTTTCAAGCACTTTCGGGCCTTCTCTCCTGGAGTACGCTTGGGTATGCTTGGGTTTATGCATCCGCCTGCAGTGTGTCTGCATATGAGGCGCGGTCGAAATTTAGTGTTCGGCGAAGTATCACGGGTCATTTAGTGAGTCCCCTGTCGTTTTACAGTGTTTTGGCATCCGCGCCATCCAACATAAGTTCTTATTGTATGCAATTATAATCAGGCTTATGCAATTACTGATGTGGACTATTTTCTTGGCTCAGCGATGCCTTTTTCAAGTCTCTTTGCTGGCGCTGCTGCTGCTGCTGCTGCCGCTGCTGCTGCTGCTGCTACTGGAACTGCTGCTGCTCTCTTCGGAGTCGGAAGGGTTTGCAGCTGCTCATTGTGACTTGTCGTGGTTACCGGTCCTCTTGTGATCTGTTGTTTACACCCTTCTTTTGTCATGGCTGTCATTCTTCCATTTACTGCTGCTTGAAGTGGCTGCCGCCACACAGGGCTCCGATGTCTGAATGGGTCTCTGCGTCTCCGGAGCACATTTTTGAAACATTTGGTTATCGCTAGGTTATCGCTAGGGTTGTCGCTAAATTCAGTGCAACAAAACGAAGATAGGACTGGAGATTCTCTCAAAACAAGTCTCATATTGTGAACTCCATTGTCGAGGCACACCAGGAAACGAGACTAAATGCTACATAAGACATGGGATCCGTCATTATGCATACATGCAAAAGTTATCGCTATTTTGTGAGCCCCCTATCGTTTTTAAACATGCCCAAAAGCAAGTCTTCACTTCTAAGGATCATTGCAAAAGTCCAAACTTGTCTCTGCCTCATGCTTTTTTACAAATCTAGCACGCACTCAGCGCGCTCGGCCAAAACAAACCCTGACGCGCGCTCGGCGCTGGACCACAAACCCTACACCAAAAACCCTTAAGCTTGCTTTTGCACATTTTTTGCATACGGAGAATGTTCCGGAGATCCTTTGAAGGTTAGAATGTGACTTGCTGTTGATCTTGCTTTTCACAAATTCCAACGCGCGCTCGGCGCGCTCGTCCACAAACCTCAAACTGCCACGAGCGCGCGCCGAGCGCGCGTTAGAGTTTCACGAAAAGCAAACAAGCCCAAAAGCAAGTCTTCACTTCTAAGGATCATTGCAGCAGTCTAAACTTGTCTCTGCCTCATACTTTTTCTACAAACCCTAGCACGCGCGCAGTGCGCTCGGCCAAAACAAACCCTAACGCGCGCTCGGCGCGCTCGACCACAACCCCTAAACCCAAAAAAGCCTTAAGCTCTTAAGCTTGCTTTTGCACATTTTTCGCATACAGAAAATGTTCCAGGGATCCTTTGAAGGATGGTTAGAATGTGACTTGCTGTTGATCTTGTGCTTTTCACAAATTCCAACGCGCGCTCGGCGCGCTCGTCCACAAACCTCAAACTGCCACGAGCGCGCGCCGAGCGCGCGCCGCCGAGCGCGCGCCGAGCGCGCGTTAGAGTTCCCCGAAAAGCAAACAAGCTTATAAGGAAGTCTTCACTAAGGATCATTGCAACAATCCAAACTTGTCGCTCGCTCATGCTTTTTCTACAAACTGTAGCACACGCTCAGCGCGCTCGGCCAAAACAAACCCTAACGCGCGCTCGGCGCGCTCGACCACAAACCCTAAACCCCAAAAACCCTTAAGCTTGCTTTTGAAAATTTGTTGCATACGCAGAATGTTCCGGAGATCCTATGAAGGTTAGAAATGTGACTTGCTGTTGATCTTGTGCTTTTCACAAATTCCAACGCGCGCTCGGCGCGCTCGTCCACAAACTTCAAACTGCCACGAGCGCGCGCCGAGCGCGCGTTGGAGTTTCACAGAAAAGCAAACAAGCCCAAAAGCAAGTTTTCACTTCAAAGGATCATTGGAACAGTCCAAACTTGTCTCTGCCTCATGTTTTCTTTGCAAACCCTAGCACGCGCTCAGCGCGCTCGGCCAAAACAAACCCTAACGCGCGCTCGGCGCGCTCGACCACAAACCCTAAACCCCAAAAACCCTTAAGCTTGCTTCTGCACATTTTTTCCATAAGCAGAATGTTCCGGAGATACCTTGAAAGTCAGAATGTGACTTGCTTGCTGTTGATCTTGTGCTTTTCACAAATTCCAACGCGCGCTCGGCGCGCTCGTCCACAAACTTCAAACTCCCACGAGGTTTCACGAAAAGCAAACAAGCCCAAAAGCAAGTCTTCACTTCTAAGGATCATTGCAAAAGTCCAAACTTGTCTCTGCCTCATGCTTTTTTTACAAATCTAGCACGCACTCAGCGCGCTCGGCCAAAACAAACCCTGACGCGCGCTCGGCGCTGGACCACAAACCCTACACCAAAAACCCTTAAGCTTGCTTTTGCACATTTTTTGCATACGGAGAATGTTCCGGAGATCCTTTGAAGGTTAGAATGTGACTTGCTGTTGATCTTGCTTTTCACAAATTCCAACGCGCGCTCGGCGCGATCGTCCACAAACCTCAAACTGCCACGAGCGCGCGCCGAGCGCGCGTTAGAGTTTCACAGAAAAGCAAACAAGCCCAAAAGCAAGTCTTCACTTCAAAGGATCATTGGAACAGTCCAAACTTGTCTCTGCCTCATGTTTTCTTTGCAAACCCTAGCACGCGCTCAGCGCGCTCGGCCAAAACAAACCCTAACGCGCGCTCGGCGCGCTCGACCACAAACCCTACACCAAAAACCCTTAAGCTTGCTTCTGCACATTTTTTGCATATGGAGAATGTTCCGGAGATCCATTGAAGGTTAGAATGTGACTTGCTGTTGATCTTGCTTTTCACAAATTCCAACGCGCGCTCGGCGCGCTCGTCCACAAACCTCAAACTGCCACGAGCGCGCGCTGAGCGCGCGTTAGAGTTTCACGAAAAGCAAACAAGCCCAAAAGCAAGTCTTGACTTCTATAGGATCATTGGAACAGTCCAAACTTGTCTCTGCCTCATGTTTTCTTTGCAAACCCTAACGCGCGCTCGGCGCGCTCGACCACAAACCCTAAACCCCAAAAACCCTTAAGCTTGCTTCTGCACATTTTTTGCATACGGAGAATGTTCCGGAGATCCTTTGAAGGACGGTTAGAATGTGACTTGCTGTTGATCTTGTGCTTTTCACAAATTCCAACGCGCGCTCGGCGCGCTCGTCCACAAACCTCAAACTGCCACGAGCGCGCGCCGAGCGCGCGTTAGAGTTTCACGAAAAGCAAACAAGCCCAAAAGCAAGTCTTCACTTCTAAGGATCATTGCATAAACTTGTCTCTGCCTCATGCTTTTTCTCCAAACCCTAGCACGCGCGCAGTGCGCTCGGCCAAAACAAACAACGCGCGCTCGGCGCGCTCGACCACAAACCCTAAACCCAAAAAACCCTTAAGCTTGCTTGTGACATTTTTTGCATACAGAAAATGTTCCAGGGATCCTTTGAAGGACGGTTAGAATGTGACTTGCTGTTGATCTTGTGCTTTTCACAAATTCCAACGCGCGCTCGGCGCGCTCGTCCACAAACCTCAAACTGCCACGAGCGCGCGCAGAGCGCGCGCCGAGCGCGCGTTAGAGTTTCACGAAAAGCAAACAAGCCCAAAAGCAAGTCTTGACTTCTAAGGATCATTGGAACAGTCCAAACTTGTCTCTGCCTCATGTTTTCTTTGCAAACCCTAGCACGCGCTCAGATCTGCCGTGCTTTGCAGCGTCAAGGTTGCTTCGTAGGATCGTTATGTACCTTTCCATTGTGCTTTGCAGCTGTAGGATCGTTCCCGCAGAGTAAATGGCTGCGTCAAGGTTGCTTCGTGCTGTGGCTGCATTCGTAATACTAGTGTCTTTTGCAGCTGGACTTCGTAAATCGTATTGGAGTGGCTGCATGAAGGCTGCCACAGCGATTTGTCAGCAGATTTTCTCCATTTTGGCGCCAGTGATTTTCCTCCTAAAAATCCTTTTTTTAAGTGCTTCAAAATCGTCTTTTTTTCGCTCTGGCGTCGAGATCCGGTTTTGGAGCTACAATTTCCGACGCCGTTGCGCGTAGTTCTATTGCGTTTTGCAGCTCAGTCTCTGCAGATCGCATTGTAATGCCTGCGTCAAGGTTGCTTCGTGCTGTGGCTGCATTGGTAATACTATTGTCTTTTGCAGCTGGATCTCGTAAATCGTCTTGGAGTGGCTGCATGAAGGCTGCGAAATGGATTTGTTAGCAGATTTTCTCCATTTTGGCACTAGTGTTTTTTTTGTTGCACTTAGGTTTAGAGCAGTGTGAAGTGTGGGGCGTCAAGAGTGCAGTGTGAAGTGTGAAGGAAGCAGTAGAAGTGTGGAGTGTGAAGTTTAAGTTTGGAGTGCGAAGCGCGCAGTGTGAAGTGTGAAGTGTGAGGTTTGGAGTGTGAAGGAAGCA